GTTTTTAAGTTGTACATAGATTTATTCCCTGGATTGTCATTGAAAAAGGAACAATTTTTTTTTTTTATTTATAAATGGGATTAATATTCTTTGAGAGACAGTGATATTAGATTAAAATGTATATCTCTTTTGCTATGATAATGATATAATCTCAGAACTTAGCTTTCCTCCTTTCACTTACATTTTTTTCCTGGTTTGTTCTATATTGACATGGTGCTAGATGTGTTATCTGCTCAGCTTGCCTGCTTTGCCTCTGAAGTAGTTTGGAGTTTAACCATATGTATGTGATATTATTTTATGTGGAACATAGGGGAGATTTTGTTACTAGCATCTTATACTCTTCGAAGGTCAAAATTCCTTTTGGGAAACATTTTTTACTCTTTAAGGCACAACAAATTGATATAAATGTAAAATATTTCCTACTTCTATCTCAATCTCTTGTTGTTCTTGTATTTTAATCATTCATCAAACAATTATTTCAAAAAAATTCCTGTAGTAGAAATGGCTGTTAACTATTTTTTCGTTTATTTTGCTAACAACAATGAATTATTGAACTTTCCCTGAGCTTAATTCTTTATGTATTAGCAAAATCTTAAGATTATATCTGTTATGCACTTCTAATAGAAAAACATTTTTCAAACTATCTGAAGTATTTTCTATTAACTAATGTAGAAGCTATTGGTAGCCAAATAAATTCAAGAACAGAATATATTTTTTGTGTATATTTTTCTGATACTATAGGACAGTCTTTTAAACAGCCTAATTAATGTGACCTTGAAAATAAAGTTAGGGAATCAATAAACATTTTATAAAATACTCTATTTCACATAGATGTATATTTTCAAAGACAGACAATGCCAAACCCCACAACTTCATGTGGAAGTCAGTGGGAATTGTGACCTACACAGGCTTATGGAATTTTAACCATTGTATATCTGCATCAAGTTATGCAATGCAATCTGTTTTTTGATTTGAGTCTAGCCTGCATATGGAAAAATTATTTTGGAGGACTTCTATTGTATATGCGAATCCAAACCAGTGTTGTTTGATCAGTATAGTATATTGGCTTGTGTTCAATCTTACCATGATGCAAATCCTGTTTCACCTTTACAGTTTATTATCCCTCTGTTTTTAAAACTAGGTGAACTCATTGCCAACAATCTTATTTTTTTTTCTTCAAATTAATGCAGGTGGCTGCTCTGTTGTGTCTCCTGCCTTGAGGATTCTCCCCCTTCCTCCTTGCTAGGTTCCTGCAGTCATAGTTCCCGTAACTTGCTCCATGTAATTCCTGCTCCGTTCTTACCTCCAAGACCACGTTCAATTTGAGTTTGTGCAGCGAATGTTCTGATTTGCTTCCTTCTTGCCACCCTCCCCCTGCCAAAGTTTGTATGTTTTTCAAGTCAGCCTTCTAGAAGGACATGAAACACCACAGGCAATCATAACTTTATGTTAATGAAGTAATTTGTTGGTGAATTAGAATTCAGAAGTGGAAGTTTTCAGGTAATTAAATATGAAAAATTAGAAAAATGCAACAGGCCCTGTTATTTCTATGTTAAGTTCATTTATTTGACACTGCATTTTCAGCTTTCAGTATTATGCAAGTTTTTTACATTAACAGTAACATCTAGAATCAAGACTGAATTCTGATTAGTTATCCACAGAAAGCTAAAATTTTGAATTTGGCTGTCTATAAACCAAAAGACATGACTGGATTTTCAAGTTACAGTCTCATGGTCTAAAGTAGCTGGAAATGAAAATAACTGCTTCTTTAACCGTTTAAAGGCATTTTCCGGTTATCTAATTGCTTTTGCTCTAAATGATGCTGCCAGTTTCTCATTTAATATGTGCAGCTCACCTGCTTAGACTTAAAGGATTCATTTTGTCCTCACTCTAGGCTAAATTAAAATGTTGTTGCACTCTGAAACTGTAAGTTGGGGTTAAGAATGTGTAATTTGTTTGAAACTCAAGTAAATGCTATTTAGGCTAACGTCCATCTGGTCTGAAATAGATCTGTGAAGGCACAGCCTAGGATGAGTCTAGACTACAGTGGCTGCCTCCCGCTGGCCCTGAGCGCTCCCTGTATAATCGTGCACAATTCTGCTCTTATGTCGAGGTAGCAAGAAACAGCAAATAGAAAGCATGTGCACTGAGTTGTATGTCGAATCCTAGGCTATACTTTTTTGCGCTCTTAGATGTATTTTGTTGCTTTGGTTTATTTTCTTCACAGGAAATGAATATGCTATTAGTGAGGTGATACACAATAGTGTCTTCATTAGCACGGGGTGGGAGGATAACATTTAACGGCGGCAGCTGGGTGGTAAAGCTGTTGCATGCAAGTTCGTGCGTTCTGACTTTTTGTGTGGAGAGATGGTGAGTTAAGGGGAACCTAAAGAGTTCTTCTCCCATGAGGATTTTGTAAAGCAGCATAGCAGGTTGCCAGTTTGTACTCTGTTTGAATGGGACAGGGTTTTTTTTGGCAACTGGATGGTTGCATGGTGCTAAAACTGTGAACTGTGGCTCAGTGCTGTATCCTGATGAATCAATTTTTGCAAGTAGCTGCAATCACATGGATAGGATTCCTGAGTAACTCTGCCTTTTGAAAGACTGTCATTTCTGGCTGCTTAATCTCCCTTTCCTTAGTGCAGATGTCTGAAAATAAAGGCCAAGACTGTATTTAATTCTGTGAGATCCAGCATGAAACTCTTTACCACAGCTGAGCTCTGCAGCTCCATCCAGCCGCCACCACCTCCCTGGAGTCCAAAGGAAGATGAGTTTCTACCACTTCTTTCTATTTCAATCCCTCTAATGGCCCTTTGCCAGCTCTGAGGGGCTGCCCTAGCTTTTATTTAATCTTTTATCAGCCTCCTTGTGCTAACTTCAAAACAGATTGCTGTTTGCTCTGAGAAACACTTTGATACACGCTTCCACAGCAAGTCTGGAAAGCCCTAATTGCCCAAAGGCTGGGTAGCTGCGTAGCAGCAACTGAGATACCTCTGGAAGCCAAGACACCCTAACACCAACCTTGACAGTGCTGACTCAGCATGTTAACCCGAAATCCCAGCTTCACTGCTGACCTCTATAGTGTGTCAGCTCTGGGCTTTGGAATTTAGCCTTGAGTCAGATTTGTTTTTGAATTGCATTTATAAACGGAGTTGAATGAAGTTTTTTAAAATTAAAACTCCGATCAAAGCGCTAATTCCCGGGGAGCGACGGGTTTTGTTACTGCCGCCTCCCCAAGCCACTGTTTTTGGATCATGAGTAGGAAAGCAAAGTGAAGAGCAGCTGAGTTGCTGATCTCCGTCCTCACGGAGGACAGAGCTCTGGCGCCATGTGGAAACCTGCCTGCTTTCTTCCCTAGAGCCTGTACAGTTCTTCTGCCGTTCACAGTTCATACTGAAACTGGGTAGGCCAGAAAATGTTGTTAGAGGAAGGATGCATCAGGGCCTGATCTACTTTCAATTACTTTAATGGGAGTTTGACCATTTATTATAAAAGAGGGAAGACTAGAGCCAGAAAGAATTTCTATTCAGATGTGTTTAATGGCTGTGTATGTATATGATACAGATTTATTTCTACTATTTTGAGCATCTTTAACAAAGACAGTCACTCATTTTCTAGGGCATTATCTTGGTTTTAGACTGTTCATAATTCATTTCTATTCATAGAGCAGATCAAGAGAAGTAGCTTGCAGATGTCACAGAGAGGCATGTTTTCTCATATACAAGTGTTTCCTTGCTTTAACTTTATGCAAATAGTTTATTATTAATACTTTTTTAAAGACTGTAGGAGGTATAGCCTTTCATTTTTTTTCTGTATGATTAATACCAGCCACTCTCTATTTGCTTTCATTTGTAAGTAAACTCTTGTCATACGAAGGAAATATGGGTTTATATGTATTTAAATTTATATGTAAAGATTATAAGTATTACAGTCCTCTTTTTTTGTCACCTACATCATAAAAATTGGATCTCTAAGATGAAAATTTTGTTTTACAAAATGTTATTACTAGCACTTATTTTCATTTTTCATCATGGAAAAACATTTCCAACACTGGCAACTTAAGTTCTCACTGTATATTTTTAAAACTTCGTATTATATAAAGGCTCCTTTTATGTGTCAAGAAGTTCAGTAATTTACTCCTGAGTGAGTAAAATTACTGCAGAAAGTTATGCTACTGAAATTTTGGTAATATCACATGTGGGATTAAAAAAAAAAAAGAAGGTGGTGAGAGTGGAGTTAATATTGTTATAGCCATAAAGTTGTGTGTTTTGTATGCATGTTTCTGTGAACTGTGTTCTGCAGGCTAGCATTCTTGAATAGTGTTTTTTATATGAACTCAGTGTTAGTCAGAAGTCCTGCATAATTGCAAATAAAATATAGCTATGCCCTTTTAGTATGATAATGTTAATGAAATGGTAAATGCATAAAACAAAGTATTTAAGGGACTTATGCATTCTAGATATCATGAAAAGAAAGGCGTGATGAATACTGAAAAGCTTATATTTAAAGTGCTCATCTTTTAAAAAAAAAAAAAAAAAAAAAGAAAGAAAGCCTTTCTTGACCTTCAAGTGACCTCACTTACAACACTGCCTTACTGTTGAGTTAAAAGTGGAAATGTCTTTCTTTTGCAGTATCCAATAGAATAAATGTTTTCAGTATTGGGTTTTGTATTGGAGAAATACACTACTCAGAACTTCACAAAGAATTAATTTCAACCTGTGTTGGGTTGGAAAGGGCAAAGGGTTTTGTTTTGTTCTTCTTTTAAACACTTATATTTAGTGTAAACATTTATATTTAGTGTAAAGAGTCAAATCAAAATCTTTAATCATCGTTAGGCCGGAGAACTATTAAATATAATCAAAAAAATAAAAGTCAGTCACCATAGTTTAATAAAAGCTATACTATCCAAATAAATCATATAATATTGTCAATTTGTACTGTTTTTAGCTAAAAAGCCTGATAAACAGTTTATAATATCATACAGTTATATAGGTACTTACCACTTAAGAAGCAGCATCAAGTGAAGTCTGTGAAAATTCCCCCAGCTGTAATCAATAGCTGATTAAAATGAGGATTCTTCGTGGCATTATTTTGAAGTGCACAGTCTGAAATTAGAGGAAATTTACTGACAGTTATATTTTGTTGAAAGAAGAATTGCTCAGATATATTAGCAACAAAATCAATGTCTGTTGCCTTCTACAGAATACAAGGACAGTGATTTATTTTCAACACGTCAATTTCAATTGGGTAACTAGGTACCTTACGCTGTGCTACACTAGGAGCTTCAATTGCATTTCCTGAAGCAAGATTCCAGCGCGCTGAGTGAAAGAAACAGATGGGGTAAGGGAAGGACAGATGGGTACCAAGAAATTACAGCCACCATTTTCAGTACCTGTGCATTAACTGCCAAGAACCAATTTTTTTCCCATTTATTGAAACACAAAATCATAGATGATGAAGCCGAAGCATTACACAGCACAAGAACACTCTCTTCTGAATAAAAGAGTGTCTTTGTAGTAGTTTGTGGAAGTTCCACATAGGCTCTGTTTTAGAGTAAAATTTTCTGCAGGTGAAATCCTCACCCCAGTGCAACTGTTTGACGCTGTTATGGAGATTTAAGCATTGCTCTTATGTGAGGAAGGGAAGAGCTGCTGGTTGTTCGTGCCCTAGCAGCAAGGCAGGCAGCTTTCCCGGCAGGCGCGAGGTGGGTGCTGGGGATGCAGCGAGCGGGACAGGGCCCGCTGCACCCAGCGGTTTCAGGCAAGCTGGGAAGCAGCAGCACCTGGGTGCCCCTGGTGAAAGGCCTGAGAGTCCAGGAGGTCTCTCTCTTTCTTGCAGCAGCCTTGAATCGCAAGGCTAGAACAGTGGATTAGCTAGAAAATCAACACAGATCAACTATATATATACACCAGCAGTCCTTGTCTGCTGCATGGCACAGCTGCTCTGCTTACATACTTGACCTTGACTTAATTTGATCATCCCCGTGGTTAAATAGGAAGTTCAGCTGCGAGCCAAATCATTTCTAGGCACCCCTCCTCCTGGTAGCTGCCAGTTTGCTGCCGATGCTGTTGAATTTTTATATGAACACCTGTCCATTAAAAATTGGATGGTGCCCATCCAGACAATTTCCATTTATTTTAGAATGTTTTGCAATTAGTGGACTTTTAAAATTGTAGAATACAAATAAAAATCACCCTTGTATTCAAAACACTTGAGAAAGAGAGAAACATAGGTCAGAATACAGAACTATTCTCATGATTGCTGAGTTTGTATCAGGAAGTTTTCTTGCATGGAGGCATTTTTTGGTGTAACGTAGGCAAACGTCTGGTAAGTCTGTAACTCAAATATTTTTGAATTGGCTTTCTATCAGAGATTTTATGCCATTTTGCTTTAAATTTTCTTATGACTAGTCTGAATGAAAAATTCCCTTATTTTCTTAATCTTTCAAACTAATTTTCTAATTTTAAAGAAATCTTAATGTTAGGGGCTAGGCTCACAGTTGTTGTAATAAAACATAAATTTTGTGAGGTGTCTTGTCCTCATATGAGGGGAAAAAAAAAAGTTTAGACTTTGTCTCTCAATCTGCTAAATGCAATTTAGAGCTTAGTGTGGCAAGACCTGGAATTTTTAACTTTGTTAGCTGGTTGTAGGTTATCTTCCCTATGTAGAACAGTGTTATCTCATTTCAGATGAACATTGCAGCGCTGGTTACCATGACTGCTAGAAGCTGAGTTACGGTCTTGAGTCATAAGCAAACCTCTTCAAAGCTCATTGTCTTTTCTTCCCACCTTGCAACAAATCTCTGTTTGTTTAGGACATAGTCTAAGAATGAGGTAAAATAGTTCAGAGGTTGTACAGTGGGATAAATGGGAAGGAAAATGCTTTGGCTTGATTTCGTAACTGCAGTGGAAGAGAAATCATTGTTCACTGTTTCCTTCAATCAGAAAACATTACTGATCTAAAATTGGTTTCAGAACTGCTCTATTTATGCAGATACAAATATTAATGCTCATAGTGCTTGTCACTTTCTTCATTAAAATTTCTGAGTTGCAGTAACTTGGACACAATTGCCATTTTTCTTCCCCACTGAGACTCTTACAGAATGTCATATCTCCATAACAGATCATTTTGGTTCCCACCCCCGTTCGCTTAGTCCTCTTCTCATCTGAGTCTGCATCTGGAATAAAAAAGATATGAAGTAATGTTTCTTTTAAGCAGGTAGGAGATAAACTATCCAGTTTTCTGAAGCCATCTATCTGAAAGAGACTGTTTAAAATCTTAACCAGGGTCAAAGCAGTGAGGAACTCTTTCCAATTTCTGCAGTTTAAAGATGGAAAGAAATTATAACTTAATCCTTTGAAAACATAGAATTACTTTGGGAATGAAACTTGGGCTGGAATTTACTATTTACTCTTGTAATTCTTTTGAAAACAAGCTTGCAACACACAAACTAGTTGCTCTTCAATCCCTGTTAGAGAAGTAATGGCCACTACTAAGACTGCCTTAATAGATAACCCTTCAGCTCATTGAAACCTGGACGATTATAGTGTCAGGAGCATCTTGATACTAGTATGGAAGAGTAGTGTAATTATTCTGATCTAGGTAGGCTAGACTCAGAGAAGATAGGCCAAGGAAAGGGAAAAGGCTGTGCTGCAGTCAGTACTTATCAGCAGTAAGTTTAAGTGATATGTAACTTGGTGAGAGAGTAAAAAGGATGAGACTAAGGAAGAAAAAATAAGATCGGTTTTCAGAAGATGCATCTATCTGTTCATCAGGCTAACTTCTTTCATTTGAAGCTCTGGTCCCCGGTCCCCTGATCCTCCATACCACATATATCTATGCACTTGCAAGTTTCTTTCCCAAGCAAGACATTTAGATGCCTTCAGAAGAACCTGTGGCAAAATCAACACAATTAGACACTGTAAATTGCTATATGAGACGCATATCTATGCAGTAAGAACATGGCCAGTCTATTCCTGCTAGGCCTGAGCTATGTGGATATGAGCTGCTCCTTCCCAGCTGCCCTAGGGATTGGTGCCTGTCTCTTATATGCTGCAAATAGCAAACAAGATAGAATAGGATGGGGAGTCTGGAGAGATTCTTCAGAATATTTTCCGCAAATGAGTATTAACAATTTCCAGCAATAGAGACCGAAATCAAAACACGATGTTGTCTGTGTGTAGTAAGTATAGGACCACCTGTAAATGAGATCAATTTGAAAATACCCAACTCTGAATTTCCAGTAATGCTGTCTTCAGTCTAGTGACAACCTTTTTACAAGTATAATGGATTATGTTGCTTTTTCTTGGATACTTTTTGAATTTGTATATATAAAACTTCTTCAAGCAGGTGCAAAATACTGGAGATGTAAAAATAAGGTGCTAAGCAGAAGAGGTTGTGTTAAGGGAACCTGATTTTGTGATAATGAATGATCTGTGGCATGGCTGTCAAGATACATCTTCCTAGGAGGAAGGAGGGGGATGTGTAACTAAATAACTCAAGAAAACAATGAAGACCATATTTAAGGCACATTCATTTTCTTCAGCCCACTTTTATTCCCCACCAGACATTCAGCTTCCTCAAAACTTTATCATTGCAGAGGACCAGGTCTAGTGTATGATTTGTTTTATATCATCTGTCTTTCACAGGCATTTGGGCAATGGCCTTATTTCACTGACTCCACCCAAAAGGAAAGGTGTAGGAACACATATATCCTTGCCTGAGGGAATAGGCAGTCCAGTGCTCAAATCTCACCATCCAGTTAATCCAGCTGGAGTAGTTCAGTAAGATTCAATAACAGTTTTTTCAGGCAAAGAGAAAAAGGTTATGACATGATCGTACTTGCTGTACTTAAGGTTGAGGACGGGTGAGCGGTTGATTAAGAACTACAAACCTTAAAACTTTAATTTTTTAGAATGAAATCTGCTTTGTGGTTCTTATTATTTTCTGTAACTGTTTTTGTAAATCAGGCTAATCTTTCTTTAGAGTCCTATTGGCGTCCGTGTGTGCATGAGAGTGTAAGGATTACAAGTTTGACTATAAACGCCCAATTCTTTTATAGTGACCGCTCTGTATTGTGATGAAGTGATTACTCCTTTAGTTAGTAGCAGTGGTAGGCTTTGTTAAATAGCTATTTATTGCAAAGTTTATGTCACGCTTACTAAACTGACGTTCTAATATGTTTAAATTAAGTAAAGACCAAGGTCCGATTGGGCTGTCCACAGTCATTTGAATAAGTCTTTCTTAGTGCTGTGGTCAGCAGAACTTCTCATCATAGCTGAGGGTCTCAGAGCTGGTCTGCTGGTGTTGGTTGAGTACCGTGACTCCATTCCAGCCTGATTTCTAATTATGTTCCTCTATATCTCTCAAAGTTTTTATCTGCTTTATACTGCAATGACAAAGGCCGAGTGTATTTTAAATAGAGGCTTATCATAATATTGTACAGTCTTATTAAAACTTTTGGGCTTGTCTAGTCTACAATTTCAGCTTTTTTTAATGTATTCCCATTTTCTCTATAGTGCCTGCACATACGGAATTTAGAGGAGATTTTACTTCATAAAGCATCTGCTTTGGTTACAGTCATTTTACACTTACTTTATCATTATTGCATGAGATCTGTATTGAGCATATAATTTCACTCGCTGCTTGCTCTGTATTCTCCTAAAACATAAATCCACTGCCATAGCATCTGTCATTAAAAGAAAAAAAATACCACTTAAACGTAAGAAAATAGACTGGTAAAAATAACTCCTTATCCTTTAGAAAAAGGCATTTTATTTTTCTTCCTAGTGGAAATGGTTCCTGTTAGAAATATTCTTGAGTTGTCTCTTTTCCAGCAAGTTCTTGCTCTCTAATGCATCCAATCTAAAAAATCATTTGTCGCTTTGTGAAACTGAACCAAAGACTTTTCAAAATTCAAAATCATTTACATTAGTGAACATTCATTCTTCTATCAAATATTAATTATTAAACCATTACTGTTTTGCAATGCTGGAAATAAAACTAAGCTCTTCTCTGTGTTATGGAAAAGTTCTGAAGTCTTCATTAAAAAAATTTAGAAAAGTAATTAATATCAGTTTGGGAGTTTTTGAAGAGTTAGTTTGCT